TTTTTTTTTTGTAATGACTTTTTCATGGTAACAAACTGTTAGCATGAAGGCAGAGCACAAGTTCTTATCAGTCGTACTTCAGAGCTATCTTTGACCTCACGACAGAAGGAGGCAGGAGGTATTTTTGGACCGAGATGTCATTTAAGCTATTTCCAGGTACACTTCAAAACATATCATGTACCACAAAACATATTTGGTTAATCTAGTCCAGGGATCTCAAAGTTATTTTGCATCATGGATCAGTGAAAGTATATAACAAAATGTGTAAAATTACAGAAAATATAACTGCTGACGGTTCATCGTCCAGACTGTCCTGTAAATATAACATATGAAGTTTTTGTTCATTCACAGAAGACTTCCTTGAAGTCGCTGGGGGGGAGTAATTTCTATACCAGAAGGTGACCTTTTTTTCTTTGTGTATCTATTACTATTGCAGGGAGGGGTCTTTTATCAATATAAAAAGCTGTAAAACCTATGAAAAATACCTGATCAAGTCTAAAGATCTCAGTTAAATTGCAAAGCCTTGTCTGTTCACCTATCCTGATACTGGAGCAGATCCTGAAGCTTGAGCTTCATATTTAGATCATACTTTTAAAACCTGTAAGTTTCATTTCTGCCAGCATCACTGAAAGTAGGTGCTCTCTAATGCCATAAAGTGGGAACAGAAAGTGATTTGTAACTCGATTGTGCAACAGGCAAAAAGAGTACAGGAATGTGGCTTTAAGGCAGCCACATTTCTGAATTAAACTCTTCAAGTGCCGTTTTCATTTATTTAATATCATAGAGGTATGGACTGTTTGTTGGACAAGATGAGCACGTGAAGGCGTCTCTTTGAGTAACTGTTCTCGCGCCTCTTCTCCACAGCAGAGTGATGTGCCATACATAAATAATAACAACCAGTATGAACTAAGTTTAGTAGATAAAGCTACCCTAACTGTAGTTTTTGTCAGGAAAGGAAGACACAATGTCCAGTGTGCTGCTTTTTTCTGCCACGACTCATGCTGTCACAGCATCGTCAACCTAAAAAGGATAAGCGCAAGAGAATGGATGGATGGATCTTAAACAATGTCTTACCCCTGCAATAAGGCAGCATTTCCAACCTCGGGCAGTTATTAAAAAAATCCAGCTCCACAAACCGTTTCTAAAACAACAATTCAAACACTCAAGTGACCTCATTTGTTCTTGGTGATGAAACTTAAAGGAGCAGTACAGTATCTTGCTACAGAAATACAGTGAGGTGTCGGGAGGGAACAAGTACACTATTTAAGCCCCAAATGCTTGGTTTTAATTGTTAGTAATCTGCATTTATGCCGTTAAAAAGTAAACGATCGTGAGTCGTGAAAAGCATATTTATTGTTTTTGGTAGTTGAAGCTAAAGTCTGTTTGAATAGGTTATTAAGTCACAGAAACCAATACTGTCACAATTATACTGCCCTGTTTCCTATTAAAATGTGAGGACCGAAACTAGTCAATCTCCGAGGTTTGTGCTGTTTTAAACCTTTAAACAGACTGTGGACCTCAGAACCAGGGTTCTGGCTAGTCTTACCCAGCAGGGGGGACGTCTCGGGGCATTTCTCCAGCTTCTTCACCGGCTGCTCCAAGACTTCCCCCTCTTCGGAGACTTTATCCCCGTCTTTCGCAGGCTCGAGTCCGGAGGTCACCACCGGGTTGTTATTCTGGATCTTAGGGATGTTATTACTGGACTGCTGATTCTGAACGAAGGCGAGGCGGAAATCGTAGGAGCGGACATAGAAGACCACAGTGACGGCGATGTGGAGAAAACAGAGCAGCACCACCAGCTTACAAATCCGGTGGAGGACGCCGAAGTTGACGGAGGACTCTCCGGGCATCCTGGCTCGCACAGTCCCGGAGGTGTTTCGTTAAAACCCGGCCGATGAAGCGGAAATAATGTCTGTTTCCCCTGGTCGCTTAATGTTATCTGCTTCCAGACTCCATTTTCCTGCAAGTTGTCGGGAAAGTTTCCAAGTTTCCTGTGATATCCGGTTAAAATAAGAGCGAAATGTCGCGGGAATAAAGCGAATAACCGAGACGTCAAAAACAAAAACAAAAACGAGCTCCGTCACGTTCAGGTGGATGGTAAATTAATTAGTTTGCCCCTCAGTTCCGGTTTAAAATAAACTCACAGCTACGCGGCTCGGAAACTATGCGTCTCCGTTAAACGGCTCTTTTAAAGTTGGCTAACAAACGTTAACAAATCCCGCAGAAAAGTTCTGAAAAGTGCTCGAGAGAAACATCCGCACGTCAGTCAGTACCGGAGCCGGGAGCAGCAAACGTCAGTTCGGAGGGTGAGCTGCGAAGTTCCGGAGAGAGTGGATAAACTTTCGCGTGCCGCAGAGGACACTAACCTGTCAGTGTGACGAAACTATTATGAACACCTCCGGTTTCAGACTTTCACAATAAAACACAAAACCACCCGGAGTGCCGTTTCTCTAAATGCTTACTAATAAATTATATGTTATAAATTAATCCCACTGATCTGTCAGTCAGTCAGTGAATTAATCAATCAAGAAGTCTTTTTCTATATAAAACATGGATGTATCCATTGATAAGTTTTTTTTC